GCTGGTGTGTTTTTCGTAATCATAAAGAGAGAGAGAGAGAGAGAGAGAGAGAGAGAAATGCAGAAAATGAAGAGTGGGATGAAGGGTGAAAGAAGGAAGAGACCGAAGAAGAAAGGCGTGAGAGTTGAGAGGAAAGAGAGAAGAGAGGAGGAGAAGAGAGCGGAGTGAGCCAATGAGATAGTTAATGTAGAGCAGTGTTTGCAGGGAGAGAGGAGACACAGGAAGAAGATAGACAGAGGGTACGACAGGGAGTCAGAAAGGGCACTAAATGAGTGAGAGGAAGAGAGAAAATATAGGGATGGAAGAAGGGAAGGGACAAGGAAGAAAGGAGAGGCTGAGAATGGGAGACCGAATCGGCAATAAATGAGAAAGGGGCGGGGGGATAGACAAAAATATAGGGATCCAAGAAGAGAAGAGACAGGGAAGCTGAGAGAGAGAGAGAGAGGGGGGAGAAACGAACACGAAAGAGAAGGGGGGGGAGAAATGAGGGGAGAGTGTGTGAGTGAGAGAGTAACATCATCGTATGCCTTCGTTCATATATTTACCATCATCGCAATACCAGATCAACACGGAAATCAGGAAGGCAATGTGTTCCCAGAAACCGCCTCTTGTCCCAGTTGGACGGGACGTTGTTTGCATGTGTCACGCCCGCGGGGACTTCTGTCAGTTTGGTCCTACAACTGGCTACAACACACCATGGTTGTCGAGTAAATATATAAGCTTGTAGAGCCTGTGTCCGTGGTAACGCTGGGGATGACAGGATATGACAAGCAGCCGGCATATTGCCCTCCTCCGTATCAGTCTTCAGGTACATCTGATCTCAGCAACTTCAGCATACTGGGAAGGGACAAGGAAATTGTGTTTTGTGAGGAAATGTCAATATTACAGATGTCACAAAGATAAACTAGCAGCTTACCATAGATTCCGACCTTGAATCTGTTGTATGGACGCCTGACGCGAAACACTGACACGTGGGTGCGGACATTGTAAACATGTTTTAATCGATGAACTGAATACTGGGTCATGGAATAGTGCATTGGGTAATATCTTACTTCACCGACTGGACAGATGGGCCATATTCATTGCATGTTTTATTTAAAAAATGTTGTTTAATGTTCCTTATTCATTGCATTTTTTATTCAAAGTATGTTTTTTTTCCTTTGAGTGAGTGAGTGAGTTAAGTTTTAGTTTAATTTGTTAAACACTCTGATCAAGTTAAGAAAGTACATACTTTTTATAATTTTACATATTTCTTTTAAGGACATGTACCTTGTTGTTTGGAAGCGTTGATATGTAAGTTACGTAACAATGTGTTGCTATAAAAATGTTATTATGTACAAACGTATTATTTTCTTCATATATCCATGAATTGGAATAAATGAATACTGCATTATAATTTGATGAAATGTGTAACTGAGAATTAATGTGAGGATTAACATCCGTAAACAGAGAGTGACTGTAGTTTTACGCCGTATTTTTGTGCAATATTCTAGCAATATCACGGCGGGGGACACCAGAACTGTTACAGTGAACAGATTTTCATTATCATACCAGCGCATATAAAACAAGTATTATATTTATTCAGTATGACAGTAAACATTGATGTCTAGACTATAATAAACCTACACATCAGTATAAACTTCATATATAAATAAAACTCAATTTGAACACAGATGAGGAAAGGTTCACCTGTCTCTTTTGTTTCAAGTGTACAATATTAGCAGGTGTTAGCGCAACATGTAAGCCTCGCCAACCTCCTTCTCAGGTGCGTGTGACCCTCATACTTGACCTGCACCGGCGAGGGAGGGGCCCCTTGAGAACTGTCAAGGCAAACATCATGTAATCCCCCTTTGAAATATCACGATAACACGACTATATTTCAGGAATCATTCAAAGGCCTTTATCGCTTGAAAAGAAATATTGTTGGTGAGAAGGCTCCACTTCCTCGTCTCCCTTCCTGGATGTTTGGACAGGGTTGTGTCATTTTTTCTAATTTCCCCGATATCTGAGATTGCATCCCAGCATCTGTTTCTGGAATAAACTTTTTTGACAAATGACGTTTTTCACCATCTAAGAGTGACAATAGCTTGGTGTTTAATAGGATTTACAAAGATAGAACTACCTGGGAAGTTTTCGAGGCAAGTTGACACAGGACCATGGTGGAAAATCATATTAGTTTTTGTACCTTCTAAACTGGGACATTCTAACTAGGACTTCTTCAGGTTCGCCATGAAAGAGTCAACTTGTAATTCCATGTCACATAATAGCACGGTTTCCTTAACACCTGGGGTAACATCCTTGGAAATCTTATGACATATCGGATTACGTTTGAATGAAATGTAGAAATTGTTCAATATATCAGTTTGAATGAAAACACAATTTTTATGATGAGGAATATCATCATGTAGATTTTGTATAAGAGCTTGCAAAACTGTACATAAATAAAATAAATCAAGTGTGGATTTTAAAAATTATTTATTTTTGCACATATTGTGAGAATGTGAATTAATGGACTAATTACCTGTTCTATTTATTACTGTACTAACTAACCTCGATGCTCACAAATACGAAAGATGCATTTCAGAGAGTCCGATATGCTCATGTGGAATAGCAAATGAAGATAATTTTCATTTTGTCTTTACTTGTCCTACTCATACTGAAACTCGAAATAACATGTACTTTTACCAAAAAGGATACACATTCGATTCAGTATTATTCGGAAATGATCATGTAAATGTACCTATAAACATGCAGATTCTTGAATCTGTTCGTTTGTATATTGCACAATCAGGCAGATTTGATTGCTTTTTCTCAGGATAAAATGACTGTTTACTTTCAATTTATGATGCCGACATACTTTATTTCCTATTTTGTATAGTTTGTTCACGATTTACAGTCAAATTATGTAATCATTATTTGTGTTTGTAAGGGAGAGGTGTTCACATAAGCTTACAGCTTGTTCACCGATCCCTGTTGAATATTTTTATAATACTTTTTATTCAATTTTACTGAAAAATATATCTATTTATCTGGTGTCATTTAGGCCAGAACTGGCCCGGTGTTTGTATAAGGTAAAGTGCCAAAATGTATAACTACATGTAACATATGACACAGTAATAAACTATTATTATTAAAAAAAAAATTAAATAAAAATATGTTTAAACAGTGTATTAACTATTCACCTCGAGATTATGTTATAACTTGCAGCCTTATCAAATATACATGCAAGGATTCATGCGCAATGTAAATTTCTCAACTCCAAAAATATTGTTGTGTACAAGGATTAGAACACATTTTTATCATGATAGAAACACATTTTTACCATGTAAATACATTGCAACATTACATAAGTTCACGTATGTACTGACCTTCCACAGGTATATAAAACATTAATATACATACATGAAATGGAAACTGATGAATCTTGAAAAACAAATATCGACTAACAAAATCCCTAGTTACATACTGAATTTTAAATATTTAAACCCAAATGACCAGGGAAACCTGATTGGCATGAACAACTGATCTCAGAACAAGATGATGTTTTCAACATGTTTGACAATATTTAAAGGCTTCGTTTGGATGACTGCTGTTATTTAACTCTAATGTTTAATGTTTCGCATTAATACAAAAACGTTCACGAGAGCATTTAACGGCATAATTCCGTCTCAGAGAGCAATCTACTAAGAACAATGCCATCTCTATTCAAGGATTTATCCCGTCACAATGGAGTAGTATTCTGCTCCCTAATTAAAAACATGTTTACACACTGGTGTCAATGTTGTAATTATCCTTCTCGTTTAAACAAGATCCTTTTTGGCTGGGTCCTCTTGACCTTCTGCTTTGTCAAGGTCAACGTCATTATAAGGGTCAGTTGACTAGAGTTGGCAAAGAGATTGTTTTGGCAGGCAGGCTTTCTAATAGCCATGTAATCCAGGGTATTAAACTCCTAAATGCTGAACTGTGGCTTAAACGACTAGCAATACACAAGGTCACATAAACATTGACAATCGGGCTGGTTGTACTTATTTTAAATTGTGTTGAATTTAAGAAATACTTTGTTGCATGACTGAAAGTCAGTAATTTACATATACGTAGTCGTGTAAGTGAATGAATGTTCTCAATTTCATAGACTTACAAAAAACACTATAAAACCCTTTTTTATACGATTTCGCCATTGTACATTTATTGACCATATCATCAATTCATGGTGATGATGATTCAGTGTTTGATGGTGATGATACCAGGGAATCGTGTCATTGTTATTGCCTCCTCAATATACTGCAAAGTTGTATCAAGAACAATTTTATCGAAATCAATAAATTGTCCATGACATGTGTTTATGTCAAGGCATAATCATGCTACTGACTTCCACAAAGTTTTATTGTTGTGAGGGTCGTATTTTCAAGTTTTATAATGAATCTGGTTTGCTGTAGATGTCTAGCTTCTATTTCGAATATACCAGCTCGCCAACCCCAACCCGAACCCCAACCCAACCCAACCCCAACCCCCACCAATTCCTGATCATACACACGCATACACGCATACACGCACACACGCACTCACTCACACACACAGACTCACTCAGCTGCAGCTCAAAACGATATTTGCCATTTGACATGTTGTGGTGGAAGTGGAACACTTTTCAAAGCCGCATGAAAAACACTCACTCACTCACTCACTCACTCACTCAGCTGCATCTAAGCAATCCTTTATCACTTAATATAGAGTATATTTCATTTATAAAGAAACTCAAAGAGACCACTAGTTCTTCGTTATAACCGTAGTTCGTCATACACTTTTCGACTAAAGTTGTACATACTGTTCATACGTATTTGCCATCCTCTGTAAAACATTCGGGGCGGTGGGGTAGCCTTGTGGTTAAAGCGTTGGCTCGTCACGCCGAAGACCCGGGTTCGATTCCCCACATGGGTACAATGTGTGAAGCCCATTTCTGGTGTCCCCCGCCGTGATATTGCTGGAATATTGCTAAAAGCGGCGTAAAACCAAACTCAGTCAGTCAGTCTAAAACATTCTGTACAAAATAAATAACATAATTGTCATATCTAATAACGTGAAAAGTGTGATCTGATGTTGCAAATTTGTAAAATTCTCCCCAACACTTTACCCCATATTTTATCGATCAATCATAACATTTTGAACAGTTGCAGCTCAGTGCCCCACCCCTACGGATATATTTAAACAAGAACGTTTCATTCATAACATTTCACAAGGTCAGATCAGGTCAGTTGGGAGTAACAAGTACAACTACGCACCTGCCATTAATGTCATAATTCACACACACATGCATACGTTCCTTCTGTCCCAAATGTTAGCAATCTTCATACCATCTCCTATGTCACAGTGTCCATCATGGCTGTGGAGATCAGGTCAGTTGGGAGTAACAAGTACAACCACGCACCTGCCATTAATGTCATAATTCACACACACATGCATACGTTGCTTCTGTCTCCAATGTTAGCAATCTTCAAACCATCTCCTATGTCACAGTGTCCATCATGGCTGTGGAGATCAGGTCAGTTGGGAGTAACAAGTACAACCACGCACCTGCCATTAATGTCATAATTCACACACTCATGCATACGTTGCTTCTGTCCCAAATGTTAGCAATCTTCATACCATCTCCTATTTCACAGTGTCCATCATGGCTTTTATTAATACTAAATGTAAAATATTCCCTGAACAAGCACCATCAAACGTCCCCACGTGGTAACAGGGGGAAATATGCTCGCCGTGTCTTGCGATTCAATCAATTTCCCATTAAGTATTTGTTTGGGCATTAGTCTAAAGATGTGTCCAAACGGCGCCATTAGGCTTGTCAATATCCCCCACGCCAACTCACTCACAAGATGAAGGCTTAAATCCTTTTTTATGATATAGAGATGTAAACGCCCTTCCTGGGATCGAGGGATATTGTCTGTGGTTCACATTGTTATCTGGGAGCTCCTGTTGGGTTACTGCAGATAAATCTTCAAAAAACATAAGTTGAATGCATGGTATGTCTACGTCTTTGACATCTAGATACACATCCGGACTGTGTCACACTAACCTGTCGAGAGGTGACCTAGACATAGGCATGATGTAATATTTGAAAAATCAAAACTTTGGAATGATATGTAGAAAAATACAAACGAAATAACCCTTTCCATACCTAGAAAAACATCTTTGCTAATAGTAGAGTCGATTGTACAATTCCGACGTTTATGAAACGCTGTCGAATAGTGATGGCACCAGGTGTTCGGGTAAAGTAGGCTAGTCTATAGTTACCACCCGCGGGTATGAATAGCAAAAATAAGTTCACCAATTTCAATAATGCCAGGTTCAACGCCTGACGTAAGAAACAGACAGTGACATGTACAGTGCTTTCTGAGATAACTGTTAAACTCTGAAAAGATGCGTTTGCTGCTCTTTTTGGCTGCAGTTATAGATGCTGTTTCTTGTTTGTTCAGGTGAATATTTTACACGCATGTGCGTGTGTTTGTGATGGGTGTCACATTTAATCATCAAGATTACAAAACGGACATGAGCCCCAAGTAGTAGATGGCGGTATTTCCCGTGTTGTGTTGTGGTGAACATTTGACTCTGCATATGTTTTTAAAGGGTACATGTTCACTTCTTCCCTTACTCCTGCTATCGTCGCAATTTCATAAAGATGCATAAACACACGCTAATGACATAGTCAGAATCGTGCAATGCTCTCTGTTTTTGCAGCGATTTCTTATGTTTTGGGAGTAGTTTTGTCGCTTTTATGTGTAGGATATAACATGACACGCGGGCATTATTGAAAAGTAAGCCCGCTTCCAGCGGGAAATGCCCATGGGCCGAAGCCCCGCGGGCATTTTCCAAGGGAAGAGGGCTTACTTTTCAATAATGCCCACGGGTCATGTTATATCCAACTTATAAACCGACCGAAGATATACTTTAGATATATTTCAATATTTGGTATTTACTGTTGAAATCAACTGGGATGAGACTGGCAGCCGACGCCTCGCAATGCACGTGCTCCACACGCGCTACATGTGCCCTGCACGTGCGCTGCCCGCACTACCCGTCTTGCGAGGAACACACGGTTCATACCGACAAACAATCTCAATCTTCACAGCGATCCTTCGTAGCCTAGTGGATAAAACCGCCAAGCTAGTAAGCGAAAGGTTGCGGGTTCGAAACCGGGTGTCGGCACTACATGTTGGAAATTGTCAATAATGTCATATTTTAAGATCGCATCCAGTGATGGCAAGACAAAGTCGTATCAATCTTCAAAACAAGTAATAATTCAAAGTCAAGGGCTATTCCTCAGAAAATCCCAAGGCAGAGGGACGTTATTAAGATAATGCCCGGGGCACAGGGACGTTATTAAGATAATTGCCCGGGACAGAGGGACATTATTTAGATAATTGCCCGAGGAAGCGAGATTGTATCAGATTTGAGGGATATTACGAGAAAAAGTGTCCCCCAAAGAACAATAGATTGACGTCACTGTCGGTTAATAAATATTATGATTATGGAAGGTGAGTGAGTTTAGTTTTACGCCGCACTCAGCAACATTCAGCAATATATGGCGGAGGTCTGTAAATAATCGAGTCTGGACCAGACAATCCAGTGATCAACAGCATGAGCATCAATCTGAGCAATTGGGACCCGACGACTGAACATAACATACTGTAATCAGACTGTGATACCCTCATGGATATTTTAAGAAACGTTCGGCGATAATCTGTAGAAGAATAGTGTACGGTTCAATGGTTGAACTGTCGTAGACTTCGCCTTTTCCAATGCTAACTTCTGGAGTGACAAACAATGATTGATAGTTATCTACGGATTAAATATATTAAAACATTCATGATTGACAACCCAAACAACAACTGGACAAGAATGCAGAACAGATGTTGCCCTACAAAACTGACATCTGCTTAATCATTTTGGGTAATACATTTGCAGACTTATAGCAGAGCTTCTTCATATGTTTTGATCTGTCATTCCTGATCGATAAAATGATTAGGTGTGTCTCATTTTTTCAAAGCAAAATCCAAATCCCTTGTAAAGGAAACCTGGCTGTGTGGCATTGTGTGGCATAATTTCCCAGTAATCGCTGGCAATCTGACCACGAACCACCAGCCGTTCTATGTCAAAGTGGAGAGTTATATTAGAATTAAGCAACTTTGTTGAAATCACAGCACAGCCATGGTCAGTTTATTTTCCTCTTAGCAGCAGGTTGTTGAAGGAAAATTTCCTCGCCCCGTGTAGTCTTGGGTCAAGGGCAGCATGGCGTTAATATCTTCAAACATTAACACCATGAAAAAATGCAAGTCAAATCCATGGTCCACGTTGGGTTTTTTCAAGTATTCGTCGTTAAAATGCAAAGACGTTGACTCTTTTTGTGAACTGCGTCAGTTTAAAGCTTCCAAATGTATGAATATGGAGACAATGTTACCGTGTATGTATTGTCCTTTTATTGTTGATTGTTTTGGGTTTATGAGAATAATTGAAATGTCAACACGTAAACAAAGGCCGAAATAGGAAGTTTTAGCACCTCCACGTGAAGTTATTGTTTTCGGATTTTATTTCGGTCAAGGTTGCGACTTTCATGTTTTTGTGTTAGCACGTTAATTCTGACTTCTGACGGATAATTTGTGTTGGTTTATATCATCGCTGCTGACCCAAATAAAGGAACCTGCCTTTAGCTGTATTTATTTGTTGCTTTGGTACATCCATACTTGGAGATCTCTTGGACAGTGCATGAGTGTATTGATGTGGTTTGACATTATGGGAACAGTTCCTGTATTAGCCATCAGAACCCCCCGTCCCATACCAGGTGGACTGATCGGAGGGCGTTACTCAATGTCAAAACCTCAAACCCTTGCCTTCCAGTTGATACAGGACGATGGAGTAAAACACTCAACCACCACCCAAGTTAAAGATTATGCTCTCTTTGTAATATACTGGACAAAGTATGTTAGAGATATTGGTATTTTTATGATTGATATTTTATTATGATTAAAATTTACATATATCCCTAACTATTTTTGTCCAGTATATAAACGGTATTGGAGATAAATTTCACACTCTGTTTATTTGTCCTACCTTGGTCCTACAAAGGTAAACATATATCAAGAAACCCAGATATAAACGAAATGAACAAACTTTTTCCCCTAGAACAATTACGAAATTTGCTATTTTTTGCAAACTAATAATGCCTCCCGTAAGCAGCGCCCCAAAATGAAAAAAAACGTATGAGTGTAACATTATTCATTTAACTGGTCATTGTATGCAGACACGTAGTGATTGCAAACAACCGCTATGTATATATCCATTTTATATATCATACATGTATTCAACAAATATAAGTTGTACATCATAATGGTGTAAACATGTACCTCTAATGCCGCAGAACACCAGAGTGAAGGTATAGTTCAGGTCAGTTCAAATCCACCCTGTGGTGTCTGTGGCGAACCCTGATCTGGTGTCTCTGCTGTAGACGTCTTTCCTGGAGACCTGAGTCAAACTTTCCCAGTTTGTTACAAGGTTAACCATCAATAGCTTGGTTTATACAATTTGCATGTACGTACAAAAATAATCTTAATTTAACTGAAGATGAAATACATGTTTTACTTTATTGTAAAGCCTACTTAGATATAAGGAATAAGTTTCTGGGTAAATATTTGAAACATCCTATTTCACAACACAGTTTTATAAACATAATGACTTCAACAAACATAAATGTTGGGAAAATAAATAATTTGTGCCTATTTTTATATAATGTTGGGAAAATAAGAGATTCTGATGTTTTTATGTAAAACCAGGGATAATCTACAACGTTATATAGTCTCCCTGGTAAAACGCATGTAACTTCTTATCATTTTTATGAATGTATTTTGGGCCAGTGGCCTATTACTGAATAAAATGTCTGTCTGTCTGTCTGCATGTACGTACACTACATGTAAATTCACCTTTAGCGCTATAAATTACATTTTAAAGAGTACATGCATGAGTCTGTAAAAAGGTGACATTAATGTCATGTGTGACTAATAATGCATTGTAATTAGGTTAACGACCAACTGCTTGTTTGATATGGCTTGAAGGTAGGTACACTATTGTAAATGACAGTTCAGTCTATTATTTACACTTAAAAGCGTATGAATTCGTATGTAAATCTAAGTACATTTATGATATATGTGACTATGCATTGTAATAGATAAACTTAAGTACCTTGTATTTTACAACGT